TTTACGTGAGTAAAGCCCGAACTCATACGTTATACTGAACATTTAACGGCAAATTTTCGGAAAGAATTTGCACTTCAAGGTTAGGATTTTGATGTACATATTTGAGGATTCGAAACCTCATAACATATTTCAGGTTGAAAGAGGGATGGATTAAATGTTGAGAAAGAAAATGATGAACGGGTTTTGTGAAACAACATAGAAAAGATGGAAAGAAGTCACAAGCCGTGGAGTACGGGGGACATGAGAAAACGGTAGTATATATACTGTGTGTATTCCGCCATATCTGTGCATCAATTACCCGACAAACAACTCCACCACTAAATACTGTCGCAATCCGCTGTCAAAATCGGTGTCGCTGCCATTGAAAGATAAGGATTCCATGGCCTACAGCTTTTGAAAAGCGAGATATGCACGGATTCTTGCAGGCCTTCGAAGCCATTTCTGAGTGATTGCGCGTCCACGAAAAGCCTGCTCAGACAGTTGTGCTTGGGATACTTTCGGGTGGTAGGGAGAAGGCGCAGTCTGTAGTGTGTAGGTGGGAAACGGGCTTGGAAGTTATTGATAAAATGAAAGTTTGCGGAGGTCTATCGCCCAGTGGAAGATAACAAGCGTTGAAAAAATTACGTAAACATCGGTAAAAAGCTTGAGCATTGTGGATTAGATCAAATAAAGTATAATTATATTTCAATAGTTTGCATACAATGATAAGTTTTGTTATTGGTAATAAAACAATTCCAACAGTGGTGTGAACACGGACAGTAGTTTTGCTCGAAATATTGCCACTAACAAAACTTATGGCTGGACTTATTCGTCACGTACTTTAGAAGTTACGTTTGGAATTTTTTTTGCCAATAATTTTTAATAAAATTGTATTATATGTTATCTAGATTGAGGGAAATTCCCACTTTTTGGCTGGTTATGTTGGTGTCCGCCTCATGTGATCTGACTGCGACACACTTTTAGCATATTGGTTGCAATGATTAGTGTTTCAGATGGAATGTATCAAAATGTCGGTGTAATGAGGGAGATAGGATAGTTAGAGGGTAATGCCATTTACACCACTCATTTACTCCATGTAGAAGCTGCATCTTTCGGCATAGTATCATTCAATGAAGACTTCATGTCTCAGGATATCAGTACAGCCTATTTTCGTGTGAAGAACAGTCTTTTTTGACAAAATAATTCTCTCAATACTTGGAAATCACCTGCAAATGTTATCAGAATCGTTGGTGGGAACCTAAGTTGTCATTTAGATGTGCTTTTCACTTTATCTGTGGTTGGACAGGAATTATGGTAAGTTGAAAGGTTATCTCTAAATGGATTTCATATATATTGGCACTGGTTGGTGCAGTGTGCTATGGGTTATGTTAATTAAATGTACAAAAATATCTCAACTATAATAATATTGTGCCATTGTGTACTAAGCTGACTGATAGGATAACAAACGAAGGTGGTTACTAGAACTGAATCTATTCAGCTTTATTATCATTAATATGAATTTATTCTCTTTTACAATTTCCACTGACTGTATACTTAATGCTACAATATTTTTGATCACCAATAGTGGAGATGAATTTCTCCTGAGATTTCCATTTAGACAAAGCAGTACAGATGCTCTATGACGATTGAATTTTCTAGTTTGCATTATATGACATTATTATCCTCATCAACACAACAGGTCTGTGTACTTTACAATAGTTGAAGTGTTTCACTATGTTGTTAGCACTGTGCATAGCTGTCTAGAGTTGAGGCATGTTCAGCTTATATTTGATGCCTATAGTCTCCTAAATGTGAAAATGTGATTTCTGTAGGATTCACAAAACCTTGTGGACTAGACATTACTGAGATTGTGGATTAACTTCTAAGTTATACACTTGCAATACTTCATTTCATGTAAAAGTGTTTAGTGTGAAGTTGATCTGCAAGTAAGCTTGATGAGAGAATGACGCCTCAATAGTATGAATGTTTCGGAGATTGCCTTGAAATTTGCATATAGTCCTCAAATGCAGGAAAACATATGATGTATATTTATGTATACGGCGTCAACATAAATATCAGCTGTAGACTACAAATACATTTATCTCCCTGAGATAATACTTAGTTTTAACAGAATGATTGTATTCATATTGTATGCTAATATGTAGAATTATCTCTTGTTAACTTCATGTTATGCTAGTTCTAACATGTACTTTATTTTTTCCAGGTATACGGAGGTTGTCGAATATGAAATCAGCGGAAACATCATTCGGTCAAACTAACTTTATTACCCTTCATCAGAATTTTCTTTTGTAAATTAATCAAATGTTTAATATACTCTTGATTACTTCTTCCTGTAGACTTCTTCAATTCCTCGCTATACAATGTGCTTTTGTAATAAGTGAATTAGGAATAATAAACGCTAAGCTTAGTTAGTGGGATGGAAATTCACTGTAGTATTATGAGAATGTTACTTTAGTCATTAGTAGGATTTCGTGTCTGTTTCTACACAATAGCACATTGTAAAAGCTAAGTGGGATTTAGCAAGTTGAATAATAATTCTGTACTGTTGGATACTCTAAAGTCGCCTTATCTAACCAGTTGAAAGTCTGTTTACTGTTAAACGCCAAGTATGTAGTACAAGTAAATGTAGTAACTTAGGCTTGATATCTACTTCACTAATCCGTTAATATGCAGTGACATCATCAAATAGACTGTTCACTTGACGATCAGCTAAGAAACATTTTTTATTTATTTTAATATGCCGTTGAATCATAGGATGTTATCTAGTATCCATCATTTCTGTGATCAAAAACTGCGGTATTTGCATGTCTACTTTATAGATGTTAAATAACCTACGCCTGTATGCAACTAATTACCTCCAGTGTTCCCTATTCATTTGGTGTGTGTAAACTAAACAAGTCTTTCATAAATTCTCCCATAAATGCCAAACTTTCTAGTGTTACAAGCGTTAATAAGACCTGCTTCCTTTGTTTCAAATCAAATGAGGTATATACGAACTAAGGGAAAGTTACTCTTACTTAATCTTTAACCTTCACTCAGAGCCTTTAACGATCCCAAACAGTTCTCCTATAAACACAGTAGACGTACTTTAGATGCAGCTGCAGTCTTGCTTCACAACATTTTCTCCAGTATAGACAATGGGGCTAAATTCGCTGCACCTTCCTAGATACACATCTGCTTTCGACTCAGTACCTAGAGATATTCTGTTAGATAAGCTTGCTGAAACTCAAACTGAGTATTGGATTGTTAGATGGCTTCATTGTTATTTATCAGGGAGAAAGCAGTACACTGTAGGTCAGAGGGAAGTCGTCCATTACCAATTGTATTTTGTTTTATGAACTTAATGCACGAATGCATACGAAAAGAACTTTTTCAAGCACGCGGACGATCTAACTACTTCAATGTCTGTTAACTGCCAGCTACACTGTACTAAGATGAACAGCTCTCTATTAGGAGTGAGAACATGCTCTTAAACTAAATCCTTCGAAATGTCAGACTGTTATTTTCAGTTTCCGATGTAAACGAAAGTTAGTTGAAGGTGTTAATTCCTATGACCGTTGCAAAATTGATAATAGTGATATGGAAATGAAGTCTGACTTGAAGTATCTCGGACTAATTCATCACAGCGTATTGGCCCTAAATGTATTCCACATGCAGGCATAATGTTTATGAGCTAGGTATGCAAATCAAGGTACACGCTTGTACGGTACATTCACTATTTATAAAACTAACTCGTACGTAAGAACTATGGTTTGATCAGTTATACAACGTTTAATACACGTAAACACAATTAACCTACGATGCCTATGACGCGTTACCTAAAACTACATTAATATAGTTTCCGCTGAAGGTTATCTCCTATAGCTACCACCTTAGTGGGCAACTTAGCGTTATCTTTGAATAACGAAAATTCTGAGAACTTTCTTGGTAAAAAGATCGTCCCTTACTCGAAAAAATTAAATATACCCTAGTCTCCCCAAAAACGTTTAGAGGTATTCATCCTATCACCTCAAACGACTCACTATTTGCAGTCATTTAAAAAGGAAAAATAAATTTACCGATGGCAGCGTGCTTATGATTTCTAGGTATCATAATGTACCATGAAGGAAACACTATATCCATGCGGTTATAACAGCCAGATGCGCGAAATTAGTCCAAAACACGACAACCACGATTCTCAGTCACATAACATCTTACTTCGCTACCTAATCGTATAATCGTATCAACGGATGTTTCGCCAAAGAAAAGAAGACTACTGGTTCAAGGAAAATTTATTTAGTTTTTTTTAAGATCGTGAACATCTGTGTTTATAATCACGGAAAAATCACAACTTCGAGGAAACCACCGATCGTAGACTACAACCCGGAACGTTATTTTTCCTAATTAATGTCTTACCTTTAACTGGGATTGTTCGTACACTCACCAGATCATCGTATTTTATCCGCTTTGAAAACCGTTTTGCAACCCATCGAATGGATGTTAACACTGGCTCTATTACGGGTAGTCCTAGTTCATGTATTTGGATCTAGTACATCAAGCAATGATAAGCATAAGTAACACTTACCCTTAAGGATTCCAGGTTCTTTTAGTTCCCCCAAAATACACACAAGCACAACAGATTCATACTTTTCATGCGACTCAACCTTATTTGACTTAGATTCTCTCACAATATATTTTTTTAAATGATAGTAGACACACGGATGGTATATTCACATTCTCAAAAAGCTTCAAAGCTTTTACAACTTCAACCCAGGTTCTAAATTTTCCAGATCTAATTTGTTCTTCGAAAACTTTGCTAACATCAACTCTGATAGTGTTCCCTCTAACAGATTCACTCGCAGATTGTTGCATGCTGTAAACATAAACGAGATTGACACTTTTTTTCACGATTTCTACATCTTAGGTTATTAAATGAGCCAACAAGAATAACGGCAACCAATAAATGGACTGACAACAACTGCTTCGGCCAACCAAACGTCTTCATGTGCATGATTTCCGAAACTTCTACACATTACCAATTCACGGTGACTCTAAAGAATAGCGGCCCAAACCGAAACGATTTTTTAACGCAAAAATGACCTTGACAGGGACAACTTCGGCCAATGAGAAGGCTCAAAAAGAAAGGCGCATAATTGTAAAAAACGGTTTATATATAAGTAGTGCAATCATAATAAACAGTTACAAAGGATGGCGTTCGCGTGTATGTTCCAAAAAAACCTCCCAGTTTCTCATGGGAGTCTTCATAGTCATATGAAACCAGTTTCGGTACATAAATTCATCCAGGTAACTGTAAATCATGGGATTTCTCGATCCATTAACCGCTCTTATACGTCTTTTTAGACGACTCCAACTACTTTCAATGGAACTGGTGTGGGTTCCATCCAAAGGATTCCGGAAACCGTCCGTATGATTAACAACATGATGAATGTACCCATGATTCGATAATTGACGGTATCCGCTCCATTCATCTGTATGAATAGTCGACCCCGGCAACACCAAACGCTTATTAATAGGCACTAATACTGCTGCACTGCGATTGGGAATCGCTTCTATATATACTTTGCGCAGTGTCGTGTCGTAGATACCTAGTATCCAAAGCTGGTTTGCTTGTAATTTCCCGCGGTTGTATTTCCTTTTTATAAGTACAGTCTCATCAATATGGACTATGCTTCCGACTCCTCCGAGAACTTGAGTCAGGGTGTTCATTTTCCAGGAGGAAACATCTCTGCAGTAGTTGTACCAATGCACTGCTGACACCTCTGAATTTTCTGTTTCATAAGCTGTAGCTGTGACTACTCTTTTCAGGACCCAGAAGTTACAGATCATTAAAATTTTCGTCAAAGGTAGTTTAGACCTTGAGAGAAAAGTTCCTAAGGGATCTGTAAACTAAAAAACAACGACTAACCTTCTCGAACCGATTTCCTCTTTCGGTACTCAATACATCTGTATACAAAGCCATCAATGGCCTCTGTGTATTTTTGTATATGCATAACTCCACATTAGCAAATTTTCGACAAAGCTACCAGTCCGTTATCCAAACAGTAATCGAAAACATCCATGATTACTTCCGCAAATGATACAGTCAGCTGATTCCTTGTTCAAGGTCACTTTTCTGTTCAAAGGTCGTTTCGATTTGGGCCGCTATTCTTTAGAGTCACCCCAATTCACTAACAGCTGAAAACCAACTAAAACACTGAAAGCCGCCTAAATACAAGGTATGAAACAATTACACCGAAATGAATGCACTGACCTGGTAGTGAAAAGTTCCAAAACCAAAGAAATAATTCATTTTAACAGCAACAGAAACAAAAAATGAGGTGAAACGCAACATTTGTGAACAATACGCAACAAGATAAGTCGTGTATAACGGCAGGATAAACGGAACAACAAACGCGTACACGAAGAGCTACGGAACTGCAATCCAACATGGCCGACTGATATGGACGAAAATGACCTTCGAGCGTCTCACTCCACCAATGACCTTGATAAGTTACGGATAATTTCAGCCAAACTTATCATTGTGTGTAAACTACTGAAATATAATTATATTTTATTTAAAAAATTATGTGCACATGAAACTGATGTTAACTGCAATGACTGACACATACGCATGCCTTTTTTTTTTAACATAACATAACAATTTCGCTTTATTCCAGAAACAGTACTTGTGGTACAGTGTGGAATTTTCAGCACATATCTACAATATTGCATCTAATTTCATCGTACATTTAAAAGGAGTATTATAAAAAAATAAAATATAAAAAAAACCAAAAAAGAAACAGAAATAACCAAAAAAAATGCAAATAAAAATACTGAGTAAAAAAGAAGATCAACACAAATAATGAAAAAAAATATTTCAGTATTAGTTAGTGGAAGCTACGATATGTGTATGCGTGGTGAACAGTAACAGCTATAATCATACGGGAAATTATGAGATGTTCTTAAAAAAATGTTTATAGCCAAGATGATCAGTTAATTTGATTGAACAACACTAAGCAATCATAAGATAAACATTTCAGGTTTTTTTTGTCAGTACTAATGCGGTTGTTTGTAGTGGTAGTGTGAGGAATCATGCATAATACAAAATTTTTAAGATGGTGATAGTGGCAATAACAAACAAGATTGTCAGTTAAATAGTGCCGAACAAAGAACAACCACAAAACTAATGTTACATGATGGTTAATGACGGGACAATTTTTAATAATCATAGTGATAATATAGTCGGACCCAGTAGATGTACAAAGAAGGAATAGAATAAAGAATAAAAATGTAAGCCAATGATAATAATTTTAAGCAGCTAAGTATGTTTAAGAAGGTTGTTCACTATAGAGTACAAATAAGAGAGTGTAAGGGGGAAAAAACAAGGGCCAAAATTATGTTATTAACAACAAAGCAAGTCATAGGTTTCACGCCTAACATTGTCTCTGTCACTTAGAACACGGGCCAAATATGGTATCGTTGAGTTCCTATACTTGGTTGTGCGAGCATATATTATTTTGTACTGATTTCTGGTTCTACCTGATGAGATGCAGGGAGAGAGTTGGGAATAGAGGGGGTGTTGGGGGTCAGAGAGTATGGTTTTAGACCATTTCTCACATGTATTCAGATGCTTATCCACTAATGTTGTGACGAGCTGACTGAGTTTTACACCGCTAGTCCTGCTAACTACCTTCAACATCCTTCTCAGGATGGTATAATCCTTTTTCAGTAACCCAGGAAAGACTAACGGGGAACAGTAAAGTAGAATAGGTAGGATACGAGAGTTGACAAATTGTGTAAGCAGAGGTTGAGGGACTCCAGTTAGTCTGAGTTTCTTAATGTAGTAGGTTAGACGAAACACTTTCTTGGAAATCATTTGGATATGAGATGACCAAGTAAGGTCGGAAGATATAACTAATCCGAGGTATTTTGCATTAGACTTTGTTTCAATTATAGTCCCCTCGATTCTACAGACATCATGAGTGCTTACTAGTGTTTGTAGATCTCGTTTATGCCTAAAGGAGAAGTCGACAGTCTGGCATTTTGAGGGATTCAGCGTTAGGCCATTTATTTTAGACCACTGACTGATGTCCGACAGGAAGCTATTTAATTTGAAGCAGTCTGACTGAGACTTAACGGGAAGCGAAACAGTCAGGTCATCTGCATATTTGACGAAGTTGATTTCGTCTGAGAGAGGTAAGTCATGTAAGAAGAAGGAAAAGAGAAACGGCGAGAGAACAGCACCCTGAGGAACACCAGCTTCAGTAAGCAAAGGAGAGGAAGCTACACCATTATATACCGTGTACTGCATCCTATTGGAGAAGTAAGAGTGCAGCCAGTTGATAGCCCAGGACTCAGTTTGTGTAAGGCTAAGCTTGTTTAACAAAAGGCCTCTAGGTACAGAGTCAAAAGCAGATGTGTAATCAAGGAAAGTACAACGGACATACTTGGCCCCTTTGTCTAAGGAGGATACAATGTTGTGATGAAACACAGCAGCAGCATCCAAAGTACTTCTACCCTGTTTGTAAGCAAACTGCTTTGGATCATTTGAGAAGCTTAGGGAGGGAATGAGTTTTTGTAAGAGTAATTTCTCCATCAGTTTCAAGAAAGGAGAGGTAATGGCAATTGGTCTAAACTTAACACTATCTCCAGAACCAGACTTGGGTACAGGGATGATTTTAATATCTTTCCACAGAGAAGGTACATTATTATTAGAAAAAGAAGTATTGAGAATGCTTGTAAGTGGGTTACTTAAAATATCAGCACATTTCTTTAAAACAATGGCAGGTATACCATCAGGGCCTAGACTCTGGGAAGGTTTAAGAGATTTCAAACATTTAAGAACATCAGAAGTATTGAAACGATGAAAGTCACTGGTCGTGTTATTAGTTAAATTGAAGGCAGAAAGGACATTTGGAGGGCGGATGAAAGATCTATTGAGAGTATTTACATCAATAGAAGAGGCAAAATTATTATGCTTACCACAACCAGTAATTTCTCTAAAAAGCTTCCATATGTTTTCTGAGGTTTTACAAGATAGTATTGTTTGATTATAAATGTTGTTTAGTCTCTTGATTTCAGATTTAATTTGGGTGTTTATCTTCTTAAGACCAGATTTATTCTTTGTCTTGTACAGCTTCTCTTTTTCTCTACGAAGTTTTTTGAGATGAGGGGAAGAAAAACGATCCATTCTTTTGAAAATTATCTGTTTTGGACAGCATATATCAAGACAGAATTTAAGATAGTCAGTCAAATTGGAAATAGTATCATCCAGTTTGTGTTCGTTGAAAAGTTCCCAGTTAGTGTCATTTAGCATACATCTTAGTTTGAGCATATTTTCTTGTGAGTAACACCTTTGCTGTGTTCTCTTGGACAGATTTGAGAAGATATTAAAGTGAGATCTGCTGTATATCTTAGGTAATATCCGAATAATACAATGATCTGAGTTCATGATAGGAGCACGTCGGCGTACTTCATATATTTCCTCATCATTAATGAACACCAGGTCAAGGGTTTTATCAAGTCGAGTAGGGAATTTAACAATATTGGCATGACCTAATGATACGAGGAAAGAACAATCACAGCAGTTAAAATCTCCTGTGACAACTGATAAAGAGTTTTCAAGATGTGTAACGGCAAATTCAGTGAATTCATCAGCAAAATCAGATAGATCAGATGCAGAACAGCCAGGAGTAACATAAATGTTAGAGATGAAGACGTATTTGAATTTGGATAAATGTTTCGGGCGGCATTTGACCGTTATACAATCAATAAAGTCATTAGAGTAAGAAAAACATACATTATTTGAAGTTGACCATTGAGAATGAATGAAAGTTGCAACACCTCCACCTCTTTTCTTTCTGGAGCATAGTCGATCTTGTCTAAACAATGTAAAACCATTTAGGGAAACCAGATTGTCATCATAGAGTTCATGGAGCCATGTTTCTTGTAATGCAACAATCGCCGTATTGTGATAAGTATCAGATGATAAGAGAGACTGGAGATGCATAATTTTGTTGGGAAGTGAACGGCAGTTTGAAGTGACAATAACAGGAATGGTTGTACGATATAAAGGTGTCTGTTTAAGTGCACGCTGCCAGCCAGCATGATGTTTTCTCTTAGATTTATTAGATGCATTATTAGTTGCATGAAAGTCATATGGTTTAAAACGTTTAATGAATGAATTACTGTATTTTATGCGATTTGTGATCATATTTTATTAAAATTAGGAATGAAAACATGACTTATTAGATGCAATATGTAGATGCACGAAAAAGGTAGCCCAGATGTCAAACAGGCCGCCGGAAGCGTTTTTTGAGTTCAGTTATGCGACTGTCCCACTGTCAGAATATCTCACAGGTTTGTTTCCATATTTTAAGCCTTGGGAACAGATGGTTAATCTTGGATTCCAGGACTTCTATACTAGTTGGTCTGAGGCAGATTTTATATTGTCCATCCTATTATATCTCATAGGGCTTTCATTCCCATGTATTATGGAAAAACAAAATATGGTTGCATAGATGGAAAATTTTCTTCTGGACGAAGCTATGAACTAAGCTGTACATTAGTGAATATGTAGCAGGGAAGGCACCTGAACTTCTTCCTGACAGATGTCCAAACTCAGTCAGTAACAGTTGTAAGTTACGTATGCAAAATAGCGGTAGGAATGAACCAGAAGAGAAAACAGGGATTTCGGATAATAAACATGATTAAGTGAGTGTTATTTTCGGGAGGACATATGCATGTGAAATATATACACTTCATACGACATCATAGAAGCCAAAATCTCATCGAAACGTAATGCTTACTTATGTGATTAGCTGTTACAAATTTATTGGGTAGCTGATAATTCACCATACAGTTAGTAAAGAAAGGCTTGTAAATAGTAAAAATATTGTTCCTTATTGGTTACTTGTCTCGTCCTTCCGAATACCTCAGTTACTACAACATACTCTCTTGCGAAGGCTCCATAAAGTTATCTGTTGAAGTTATATAGGCATTGACACGAGGCAGTGCGGTGTACCTTCACTGGTATCGGACTTTCTACGGCTACACAGATTTGGAAGGGTCACCTGCAGAAAGGTTATCTACACTGGAGGGGATATTTGGGTGCATGTTCACTGTAGTTACACATTGGCGAATTACGCTTTGATGTTCAGAACATCTTTTAAAAACGCGGAATCCCACGAAAGGTTGCGATGTTGCCAAGTGATCTGTTCCGAAGTTCGCCTAGATAACGATGTGTTAGAGGCTTTCTCCTAATACTGCCATTATTTGGCTTTGTTGTATTTGTAATTTCTCGGTATAACCCTTCAGGCTGGAAGATGAAAATAACGGTGCGTCAAAATAGATGTATCGATGCAAAATCATTCGATCATCATTTTCGATATTTTGTTTGATAAGACATTGGGCATTCTGATAATAAATGGGATGGAATTTGCGCGCAATTCAATTTCTGTTTTCCTGTTGAGTGTATTAGAAATACAATAACTGACCCACACTATACAAGTGTTAGCTCACTTTTCCCGTATAGGTCAGTGGCATTCAGAATGTTTGTACTGGGTTCGAATCTTAGTGGGAGCATCATCACTCGCTGTTGAATTCACGTTCACGCGTTTGAAAAGTCGTAGACATTTAGAAATACGTAGC